ATTGTTCTCCATCCATACAACTTCCCAAGCAGATAACCTAAGCTTTATCCACCTGGAATTGCTAATATTTCAAACAGTGAATTAAACATAAAAGTCCCAGTTAGCATATGAAAAAAAATCTATATTTTTGTAGTGTTTTATATGATCCCCTGTATGAACAGGGGATTCTATTGGAGTCCTGTCCCCAGTCTGAAGTCTCAGGAAGCCATCTCTGAAACATCCTGCTCAGGAATGGGCCTTCCCTTATGTATGCAGCAGGGATCACACTTTAGTATAGTCTTTAGAGATCAACTCATAGAAACAGAACAAACACCTCCAATTTCTCTCCCCATTACTCTGCAGTGTATTTTCCCTGTTTGCCCACTGCACGTGCAGGTTCTGGGCGTGTCTTCTTCAGTATCTCACAAGGGAGAACTGAAACGGTGCCTGTAAAACACACCCTGGGGGTGAGCCCACCCAGCACGGGCACAGTGGCACTGCCTCACCCAACCAAAGGAGACCTTAATGCCAAAGCCATTCTCATCTCCAGCTACATTTACACATCCCAGAAGCAATAACAAGGGCATCACTCTGACCTTTGGGACCAGCAGGAGAACCCACGGTGCTTCCTGCCCTCCCTGCCCTGGCAGGGACTGGCTAAGTCCAGCTCGTTCCAACCTCAGCACAACAAGGCAATTCCCTGCAAAAGAAGAACTAATTTTTGTGAAGACTGTCAGACTGATGACTCTGCCAGCAATCTCTAAAATGCTAAAAGGCAGAAAACAATCTCGGTAACAGAATCATCTGCAGTTAGGATCATCTCTCTCCTTCCTGAAACCGAGGCACAGGAACCATGCCTGAATTCACAGCTGATGGGAAATCTTTTGATCTTCACAGACACAGAGTTACCAGCCAAGAACAGTGAGCACAGGAGGATCTTCTGAAGAAGCACTTATCCTAAATTCACCACCACAATGAATGTAAGGTGGCCTGGGTGTGGAGCAGTGCAGTACTGCAGTGATGGAGAACTGTGAGCATGTTTAATACAGCAGAAGAGACAATGTTATTTATATCTCCCAAAGCTGCTTACCCAGTGTCAGATGTGCCAGGGCATAGTGCAACTGCAGGAATCCATCAGGAGGACACCTGAGATTCCTCTCCATTAAAAGTGATGGATCTAACACAGCCAATCATCTTCATGGCAACAAATGTTCTCTTAAAAGACAAGATAAAAGTTCACAGGGAAGCTGTGCAAATTCATGAAGAGAAAAAGGCATTCCTGGTGACTGAAGGCACAGAAGCCTGTCTCCAGAAGTCTGTGTGTGTTGAAAAAAGTCTGGAAGACATGAGATGATCAGCAGGAAATGTGTGAGCTTCTCCTCCTTGTATTTTTCTCCAAACATCCAGTAGCCACTGTTTTGACTGTATTTTAAGAATCAGAACTGCTTTATTGAGTGCAGCCAGCAGCTGCAATTCAAAAGTGGTCCCGAACATCAAGGTAGTTTTTCCCAACAAAGACAATTTCTGAAGTTGTGTGAAATGGGATGATGACACCATTACTGAGACATCCAGGGCCAAGGTCAGTTCTGTTCCCTGCAGCTGCAGGTACCAACAGCTCACAAATGCAGCCTCCTCCAAACCCATCCCTGATGGGTCTGCTCAGAACAACGTCCCTTGCACCACCCTTGGGGTGCTGGGAAGCTCTTACAGCCCTGAAGAAGCTCCTTATCCCCTCCCCAGCCCGCCTGGGTGAGACTGTGCTCAGCCTTCAGGAAATGTGGTGTAGAGGCAGACAGGGCTCGAGTCATCGTGTGTCCCATCCCTTCCCTTGCACAGAAACAATTCTGGAGACAGGACAGCGAGCTGGAGTCTAATCCAGGGTGATCACTGCTGAGTAAGTAGGTCAGCAAGGAAGCTCCTGCCCATGGTCGTGTCTTCCAGCCCCCACGGCCCTTCTCACTACAAGCAAATGTGACAAACACTTCCTTTAGCAGGTTACAGGAGATGGAGGGTTTGATTCTGAGGGCTTGCATGTGTGTTCTAGAGAGATAAAACAAGTTGTGCTTAAAAAATACAACTATTTCACCATTTTAATGGCTCAGAAAGAGTTCAGTAAGGCGCTTAAAAAAATACATGGCATCTCATTACTCAGCCTGGGTTGTCAGGTTGCAGATGCTGACTAGCTCACTCACAAATGCCTTATTTTAAAATATTATCATGTTTGGCAAAACCAAAATAATTCTGCTTTTCTGCTAAAATGACTTGCTGAGTCTTAGTCTAATATTTTTCAAGAATAAGGAGTGTCTAGTATAATTTTGTTGCAAAATCACATCCCTGTAGGTCAAAAAAGTTTCCTAGTCCTTCATATGCTCTTGAAACAGAAGTTCATACCTCGAGTTTCTGAAGAGTCATTTTTCCCTGCTAACACCTACTGCCAAGGTTCTGCTTCCCCCCTGTGAAGACAGACCCATTCCCAAGCCCAGGGCAGGGTTGCTGTGCTCTAACTGGCTCATTTGTGCAGGTAAAGATATTAGCAGACAGGACAGAACTCCTGAGCCTTCACTGTTTCACCTCAGAGAACTCTATTTTACTGGTGACAGTCTTTCTGATTATTTAATTGCTCTCCACTCATCCTCTCAGAAACCTGTTCAGCTCAGAGATGTCTTTAGGGCAGCCTGTGCCAGAACTGGATAAAGTATCATTTCAGCAATTTCAGGAGAACTAAATGCAGATGCACCAGCCTCTGTTCCTGTTCAATATTTCATTGTTTGCACAGTAGTAAGACTCAGATTGTGCACACACATGCAGTTAATTATCTCCATGGCAAGTACTGCTTCATGCAGCCGAGTCCTTTATCCTCACACATGGTCTGTATTCCTTGTTCCCAAACATGTAACTTTGCATTTGACTGTACTAAAGCATTCATTTACACTTGATTTATCTAGAGATCCAAATTTGTGTCACTTTTCTGTCTAAAAAAACCCCAAATCTGCTAAAATGGGATACTCCATTTCTCCCAGGCCAGTAACCTTGATGCTTTAGGACGTGGCCAACAGTCGCTCCAAGGCTGCGCCAACTGGATCAAGTTCCCACTTGGAATTGCACTGAGACCTCCCTGTTTGTCATTTGTTAATCCTTTTAACATTTGCCACAGCAAATTTGTATCATACCAGTTTAAATTGTCATTCAGTATTAAGTCAAACACCTTACAGAAGTCTAGGGTATGATGCATCCACAAGCAAGCTTGTCAACTCAGAACGAGATCAAAAGAACTTGATAAGTCCTCCATAAATCACTGGAAACTGGTATTAACAGCATTTCTCTCAGGTCCCAGGAGAGCTCTGCATTTATTTTCTCTAGGATCACCACCACAGCACTACGTCCTAAAGGGGCAAATGGAACAGACTGGAAACTTTGTGCCCTGATTTCCTGTAGTCCCAAGACTTGTCAACTATCAGACCAAAGAATTTTTGGACAGTTAAAAATAATCTCCAGTGCTAATTGTAGAAGACTGCTGAATCTGAAGTGTTTGGCCATGGCATTGCCTCTTAAACACCCGAATTTCAATGAAACAGCAATAACTAAAATTACTGCCAGCAATTCCATCCTTGTGTCTCCCCAAGGTGTATTTGTGTGCTTACCCTGATGAAGTCATTTACCTTGATAAAGAAAACACATTTTTATATTACAGTTAAAGCTTGTTCCAGGACAAAGCAAATGTGCTTGCACATGGCATTTACATGGATGCTCCAGGCAGGCAGTGAGACACTGTCATGTGCTGAGCAGAGTCTTGGCCCCGATTTCCATCCCTGGGGTCACACACCTCCCTTGTGAGAGTCACAGCTACAGCACAGGGGGTGGGAGAGAAAGGGAAGCTGCTTTACTACCAGATGCATATGTTAAATTTATTTAGTGATACTTCAGGGCAGTGCTGCTGGGATTCCTGCCCTGCTATAAATAAAAGCCTTATTGTGAGGAGCTAATGGAATGATTGAATTAGGGTGTAAGAATTGTTCAGGCGCCGTAAATACCCAGAGCACCAGAAACATCCACCAAATTAACTAAATCCTGTCCTCATACTCGAGTTACCAGGTTTAACCTCTGTGTTTCAGGGTTTGTATGCAAATTTTGAGGAAACCATTTTCTTTGTAGAGAAATCCACTCTCTCCACTGTAAGTTGAAAGGAAACCCCGCATGCTCTGAATGTACAATATTTTCATTGTAAAGGTCTGGGCAGCAGTCACTGCCTCCCTGACTGGTGCCATTACACTGGTGAGCTCACAGGGATCCCAGTTTACAAGGCATTCCACGCGCAGAACTAACAGAGTCGGGCTTTAAGGGACCCCTGCCCCATGGCCCCCTGCCTCCAGCATCTGGAGAGGGTGTCAGCTCCACCTAATGCTGTTTTCCTGACAGAAAATAATAATTAAGCAATAACAACAGAGGTGGCAGCTGTCAGCTCTGGGCTGGTTTTGGTGCTTCCTAAGCAAAAGAAGTCTGAGAGGAAGGCATGTTAAGGTTCAGTGCAGACTGTAACTTTTGGAGTGTGCCTTGCACATATTGCCCACTTAGTGTTTCCAGAGAACTGTTTTATCATTTCGGAATCTGTCCAAAAATCCAGCTTGATGGAGAGCTTTGAACTTTGCAAGGGGGAAGGAGTGTACAGCCAGGATATAGAAATAACATGTACAGTTTGTTTTTAACATTCAGAAGAAATTCAAGCTCTAAAATCACAAAACGAGAAGATGAAAGTTACCGCCTCGAAGGTCAGTGGAGGTATAAAAGAAGGAAGAAGTAGTGAACTGAAAAAAAAGCCTCTCTCACAATGTAGTTTAAATATAAACACACTGTTTTGGTTTGTTAAAACCAAAATTTCATGCTTCACTTGAACTCAGTTTCCTTGATTTATGTTATACCCACCACATGTAGTCACCCTCCGCTCTGGGACACTCCTGAGGCTTAACACTCAAGGCTGAGCACTGCTTGTGATTAATTCAAATTGTCTTTGTTCTTTCCACCAGCTCCTACTCCAAAAGACGGCAAGAAAAAGGTGAGACTAATTTTCGGAGAATTCTTTTGATTTTCAGTATCAGTTGATGTTTAATGATACCATTAAAATCAATCAGTTTAAGTGCAGACTACAGCCTGTATTCCTGGAGTGAGATTGCTTCAAGTACTTTATGAGACAATACACTTACTGTTAAGTTACATGTATTAGCTCAGGATGTTCAGAGACACACTTATCATCCCTACAACAAGAGAAAATACTCCAAATTTAAAGCAACTCTCTGGAATTTAAGCTGTAAATTATCCCCATGGACTCTGCAGGCTCCACTTCAGTCACAGTAAATATATTTCAGATACAGCAGCAGATTTAATTTTTAACAAACAAACTGCAAATAATTCCTCCCTCAAACCATGCAAGCCAGGTGGAAAAGGTGGAGATAATTAGATCCAATATAGAGACTTAAAGAGAATAAATCCCATTTTCCTCTTTTTGGGGGAAAGAAGAGAGGGGACAGGAGCTGTAGAAATATAGAGATTATGCACTCCGTTAAGAAGTAGGTCCCCTGCTCTCACTTCTGTTGGTTTAAAGTTATAGGTGCCCCCATAACTTTTTTATTTTTTAAGTGAATTTTATAAAGGAATCTGAATCAGTATAAACACCCTTAGTTGCAGCTATTGAGAATATGAATATCCACAGGAGGAAAGGCTTTTCCACAACTGCAATTCTGATACATTCAAAGCTGTTTTAAGGAACACTAAGTCAACTCAGCATCCATAACCAGTGTTACACTTCTGCAATTCATTAGTCCTTGTGGTTCCATTTCGTAATTAAAATACTTTGCAGTTTAAGACTTTACAATAAAGAATGTGCAGTCCTCAGCAGTGTTTCCACTGCCAGTCTATGGAAAACATATGCATGGAAAATATGTACAGTGCATGTATACAGCCATCTTTGGATAGCTTCAGTGAACATTCAACGCTGTCGGTGAGTTTGAGAACTAGAAAAAACCATCGACCGTTGACTGTACCTTGAGGTTTATCACAAACTCTCTGTTGAATGGAAAGCCTGAACCTTCAGTGATTTCACATGTGGTTGCCATTAACAGGTCATGATTTACAGATTATATTAAGAGCTACGGAGGTTGAGTTTTTCCAGTTTCTGCTTTCTCTAAAAGTGAATTGGTGCATAAGAAATGTTTGTTTTCCCTTAAAAAAAAAAATTAAAACTTTATACTAGAGCAGAATTTCCACAGAACAGAGTATGACAGCAGTGGAAGGTTTTGTATGGGCAGCACAAAAGCAGGAACATATCCGCACCATATGGTACACTTGGAAACAAATCTGAGCGCGGTGTACGTTCAAAATAGCAGAATACAGGCCAGATCAGGAGGGAAACCTCGTTTCCATTTGGGCTGGCAACTTGAGCTTCGCTGGAAAAAGCTTTGGAATGTCAGTCCATGTGCTCGCAGGAACCTGCGCTCGATTTCAGCAGCTGCTCACTGGGAACGCCGGGCAGGGACCGGGGCAGGGACCGGCTCCCTCACGGCTCCCTCACGGCTCCCTCACGGCTCCCTCACGGCCGGGCCCAGCTGCTCCTGCAGCTCCGGCTGTCGCTTCCCAGCCAGGCAAGCAAGGAAACACCTTTCCTTTGAAAGGAATGGAAAGCCGAGGACTGGGGCACCTCAGTGGTACCTGTGTGGAACCTTCTCCAGCCCAGCTGGGGGATCAGGGGTAGGACTGTGGGCTCTGAGAGCCTGTGCCTTCCGAGGCTGCAGGCACTTGTTTTGCCCCCACGGGACTGCAGAACCCATGAAACACCGAAAGGACGTGCCAGGGAATGTTGTCTTGAGCTGCTCTAGAAGGAGATCTTGTAACATCTATCATTCTGCTTCTGTATACAGTCACAGATGGGCAGGATTAACAAGAGATACCTGTCTGAGGCCCAAGAGAAAGCACAGGCTGTTGAAACTTAAGGCTGTTCCTTCCAAGCACACCTGGCATCTTCATGTGCGTCTATCAAATGACCAAGGGGCATCAAACAGGCCTTTGTGTCAGAAGGGGGTTCAGCTGGTAGTCACCTCCACCATCAGAGCCTTCCTGCCATCCAGGAGGTCTGACAAATCCTGAACCACTTGGCAAGAGCAGTGGGTACCTCAGGAATGGTGGTGGGGTGGTGGTTCTTTCAACAGCCAAGCAGCAGCCTCAGGGAGGATGTGACAAATGCTCTCAAGCAGAATGTCTCATGCTGGTGTACTGTGAATACTCCTGGGATGAGGCCCAGCCCTCACGGAGTTAGAAAACATTGTGCTTCTAAAGAATTTTGGGAAAATAATTTAAATGCAAGAATAGGGGAAGTTCAGTGAATGTGCCATTTTCAAGCCCTTGGTGTACGTGGAGTCAAGAACCATAAACTTCAAACCAGGTGTTCCCAGCTGCAAAAATCTGTAGTAAAGTGGATTAACCAAGCAAAAATAATCACCTTTACCAAAAAAAAAAAAAAGGGCGATTTATGTTACTTTTAAGGTAGTTTCTCAAGAAGATTCTACTGCTCTCCCAGTCAAGTGTGCTTGCCAGAGCCACCAAGACTCTGAGGAGCCCGAAATAGCTGTACATCCTGAGGTCAAGGTGACTGCAAAGGGACTGTTCCCTGTGACAACACCCTCCCAGCAGAGCAGCATCTTCAGCACCTCATGGCTGCAATCAACATTCATTGCTGTCGGTGGGTTTTCCTTTCTATCAACTCACTGATCAATGAATGCAAACTGCGGACCAGCCAGCCAAGGACCAGCCTCCTACAGCCAAGGACCAGCCTCCTACAGCCAAGGACCAGCTTCCTATAGCCAAGGCCATACAGGCTCCTATGGCCTGGGCAGTTTTCTGGCAAGAAAAGCAACAGTTTTGCCAAAGAAGTGCTTACATCCAAGTTCTGCCTCCCAAAACCATGTAAGGCAGGTCTATGGCTGTGCCATTATCCCACCAGAGAGGTTCAGGACATGTCATCCAGCTCCTTCATGAGCAAGTATGAGTGCTAAAAGCATTATGTAACTTAAGAACTGCACAGAGATTTTTAAAGGGGCAGAACAGGTGAGGAACTAACTCAATTTTAATAAAAGTTACACCCAGCTGGTAAATATCTCTCTTTCAGTAAAGTGTAAACCTACAAGTTTACCTGGTTATAGGAAATGAAACTTCCTCCTAAGTGAGCCCAGCTATGGAACAGCACTGGGTCCTACAAAGTGACCAGTGAGATGAGAAAGGACTGAGGCTGTGGGGCTTTGGATTGACAGGGTAGGAATGGGACAGAGCAAGGCAGAAAATAGCCACTGATTTAAGGTGCTGCTGCAGAGAACATTCTCCATGGCTGGGGTGGGCAGGGCCAGCTTTGATTATAGTGGAAGGGTTCGGGAGCTGGGGCTGACTGCCTGGGGCAGGCAGGGACCCTCCTGCCCTGCAGGGAGGAGCACACACGTCTGTCTGCAGGACAGACAGAACTGACACTGCCTTGAGACAGAAGAGCAACCCCTCAAGCTGCCCTCCAAGTATTTTTTAATGACTGGCATGACATAGCTGTGCCCAGGAATGCCACTGTGGCTGGGCTGTGCAGTGCAGTAAAGGCAGGAGGCCGCTGTGCTGCCCCCACGCTCTGAGGAGGGGCCACTCAGACCAGGGATGGTGGACCCCTTCTGCTCAGCAGTGATATCACTCAATTCCCTGTGCAGTAAAGGGTCCAAGCACTTCTCTTATGCCTTGTTTCCTCCTCCAGTTGTTTACAGGCTTATTCTGAAGTAGCCTGTTGAGGCACGCTGTGCTGATACCCCACAGGAGCCATCTCCCTCAGCTTGCTGTACAGTTCAAGTCAGAACAACTCACTAATGACTTTTAAACTCCAGTTTGGTGAATATTCAAAATAAATCTGTGTGCTTGTTCTGCTAAAACACTTGAACTTGTTCAATCTTACACAGGAACAACTCCACCAAGTTCAACAGTTACACACTCACAGACTGAACTTTGCAAAAGTGGAGCTTTAGGAAAAAATCTCCCCTCTCCCTGAGCCTGACAGTGAAGGGCTCTGTTCAGTCACCCAAAGCGAGCACTTCCACCGACACCCTGGGTAACTGTGGTGCTTTGATAGAGGGAATTTACTACAGTAATGTAACAGTGAGCAGCCCAGAAGCACGGCTGCCAAATTGTTTTAACATTATCAAAACGAGAATGACTCATTTTTTATGCAGTTTGACATTTTGCCTTTGAAATCTCAGATTTTTCAGCATGCTTGGCAGGCTCCCTCGGAAGTGAGAGTGCACAATTTGGATTTTTTCCAGCGACATCTTACATGATGTACAAGAAAGTACTTGTGCGTTATTTTAAACAGACATTTCAGCCAACTGGTTTCCCCCACGTACACTTGTGTGAAAGTACAAAATACAGAAGTCCCGACAGAGGTGTTCATCTTTACTGCAAGGACACGTGAAAATAATTCACTGCAATTACTCTAAGACATTTCAGACAAACAGGGAAAACTACAGTAAAGGGGCCATCACCCTGTTTGCCAATGCACAACAAGCCAAAGGCTTCAGCAGACACTCCACAGATCTTAAAGACTCTGGATGCACAAATAAGCTTAAGAATTCATTTTCCTACTCTGCTGTAAAAAAATCCTCAGGATTTTTTTTTTTTTTTTTTTTTGCTTTAATCATGTTTGGTAATGAGACAGGCAAAGGAAAAAACTTACTAAGGGAAGACAGGTTAGTAGACATGTTCAGAATGTTTTTAAATCCATGCTTGGGAAGTTTTAGATGTTTGTGGCACCAACTGTTCACTCCCTACCAGAGCCACCCCCCCAGAGATCTGCCTGCCCTGGAGCACATCAGGGTGATGCTGAGCACCAGCACGTTCAGTGCTGCCAATGCAGACATGGGACAGCTGGGGCTGGAGAGGTCTGGGATCTGCCCCAGCAGGAATTGCCAGGGCTCATCTCTCCATCCTGGAGGCTCCTGCAGGCCTTCCAGCACTTCAGGGACCCCGCTGCCCACCAGCACTGACGGGGGGATCGAAAGACAGGGAGACATCAAAAGAACTCAAGGAGCTCGGTTTATTTAGTTTATCAAAAGTTTATATAAATATCTTCATAGGGAACAGATGTTTGACAAGCATTTTTCAGTTTAGCAAAAGATAACACATGAAAGATGTGGCTAGACAAACTCAGAGCAGCAATAACATACAGTTGTTTAAGGGGAAAAGAGGGTCATTCAGCTCATATTGGACAGCTTTGCTCTTAGTATTGGCAGATACATTCTGCTGGAAGAATACTGTGGAAAATTCAGTTTTGTTTTAATTCCCTTTAATGCAGGAGAGGCCTGAATGCAGTAAATCTGAGCTATGTCAGCCACAAAGGCTCAACAGCATATTAGCCAATATATCAATATAAACTACACATCTCTAAATGACAAATTATTCTACATATGCATGTGGAATTATCTGTTTCCACATAAAAATGATCAACTGCGTGAAAACCTGGCTAGATGCCTACAAAGGTGTGTTTTATTAATCAACAGGCAAATAACTGCACAGACACTTACAACTGGGAGCCTGCCATACCTGCATTCCACACAGCTGTTCTCATGGCAAAGGAGAACAGCTCCACATATTCCCACTGTAGGGGAACCACAATTCTCCCAAGTTCCCCAGTAAAAGTGCAAGTCCACCAGCACGAGGGCACGTGGAAGGGACAATGTCCTCGCTCTGGAGGGCTTTCAGCAGCCTGAACATCTGAGCATTATTTCTGAAACGAGCTGTCTGTTTGAAATTGCAGATTTGAAAAATCCACAGGGTTCCCAAACAGTGAGATGAGAAGCTGCCCTGAGTGAGGGGTTTGCAGAGGCTCAGCCCTCTGTTAAGGAGGTTTCCCAGTCCCCCCAGTCTGACAAGGGCCTGTTGCCATCTAGTGGATTCCACCGACTGGTCCCTCTGCACAGCAAAGGCCACTAGATGGAGCGTTAAGAAGGAATTCTGAATTCCTGTTTTTCAGGTGTCCAGCAGCTCAGATTTTCAAAGTCTCAAAAAGTTACAGGCCCAGAATTACCGTGAAATTGCAGAGGATTCCACCAACTGCTCTCAGTTCCATGAGAAATTCCAGGCTCTACCTTTCCAAGTTTAATACTGAAACACCACAGATAAATACTTCCCTGTCAACAGAATTTACCATCACCTCAGGGGTTTATGTCCCTCACATACAAGCATCTACTTCATTGAGATACCTCTGGTGACAAAGGATCTTACACAACCTGCACTCTGCTGGTGGAAATAATCACATACAGACCTGGTCTGTGCTACTTTTGTGAAAAATACCTCATCAGTTCTCAGCTATGGGGAAACTCCACTTCCATGATTAAGCATTAGCTCTAAAACTTCTCAAAGTCTACTATGGAGTATCAGTTCACATCTTTGGATTATCTCAGAATGAGAAATTCCACCTTATCATGTGGCAAGAAAAGGGGTACTTACTGCCCATGGAGTTCATAGGGAGGACAGGAGAGGAGGAACTCATCTGCTCCACATCTGTAGCTAATGGGAAAGTGAAAATGAAAAAGATGTGATGTGCATGTTACCAAGAAGTTTTTATTTTGAAAACTTTCATTTACACTTAAATTGAATATGCTTGTCTTTGGTCACCTGAGGAAGCTGCTTTAGAAGCAGGTAGTTTTTAACAGCATCAGCCTTCCCTCTTTTGAGATATGTCTATCTCATCCACGTTATCTACAGATGTACTTTTCCAAGCATTTGTACTGGAAGTCTGTAATTTGTGATGGTTTGAGAGTATCAATTCAGAACAACTTCCAGCACAAAAATTCTGGATTACATCAGCTTTAAACTGCATTCAGACCATTACTGTGGAATGAAAAGACATGATGACCTCCCATCTGTGTCCGGTGCACTTTTAAAAGATTCCAGATAGGAAGAGAGATCCTCTTCCATAGGCAGGCAAAAATGCTGGTATTTGATCTGGAGCAGCATCAAAAACAAGTGTTTTTAAACACAAGACACTCCAAAGCCTTATTTTCTAACAGCTGAAAGAAGAAACAACTTCCTGCCTGTGTTTGCCAATGAAAAACCCCAAAGTCAGAATGTGATCCAAACCAAATGCCAGATGCCCTCTGTGTTTTGGGAAGGATCCACCTTTCCAGGACCCAAACCAGGAAAGACCTATCTTCTAGTAACAGGGTCAATTTTAACCCAAGATTAGGGAAAACAAAGATACATTCTTTGGGGCTTGATCTCTGTGAAAAGACCACAACCCCTCTCAGCACATCACCACAAACACCAAAGTCAAGCAGATCAGTCTCCATCTTCATCACTTTGGTGCTGATAGATCCCACATAATTATATACTCTGTAACTCCTGTTTAGCTTTAAGACCCAGTAAATGCACACTACAAGTTACATTCCTAACCACAGAACACAGCCCCAGAAGCACAACTCCAGCCCACAGCCAGGCTGTGCTGCCAGCCCAAATCCTGCCTTTCACATTCCTGCAATTCCCATTTCTCTGGCAGGAGGCAGTTCCCCGAGGATCACTGTTTACACTGAAAAGTGCAAAGTTCTGCTCTAATTAGGCAAACCACAAACAAATGTAAACACTTCAGCAGACCATTTTTACAGAACGTGAGAGCAGACACAGCACCACAGTGAGTTAATCCTCCTGCCGTGCCTTCCCACCTCTCCGAGTGCCTCACCGAGGAGCCTCCTCGGGGTAGCTGCTCACAGCAGCAGCCACAGCCCAGAGCAGCACCAAACACAATCACAGATTTATTCAGCAATGCCCTGGGTCGTTCCTGTCCTATTCCCCAGTGAATTATCAAGGCATTTACTGCCTAGAACATCCACACATTCATTTATCATCTCGCTGCGTTCAGAAAGCTGCACATGACACGCTGACTGCACCTTCCCAACAGGCACAACCCAGAGGACACTGCACAGGCCTGTGGTGTGCTCAGAGGAAAAAATGATTTTGCATCTTCCCATTTGCCACCTTAGTCTCCCTAATGTGGGAATTGCTGACCCTCCAAAGGAGCTAGCAGCTCACACACTATACGTGTGTTTATAAGCTTAAAAGGACTCTTCATATGCAGCACAGCCATTTCAGATCCCTGGGAAGAGTTTTGTACTTTTCCCTGTTGAAAGCTACATGTGCTTTCACATACAGCCAAATTAAGCCAACAAATAAGTGCAGCTTAAAGTTACTTTTAATCTTCTGTGAGTGGTAAGATTTAGCCGGTGTAGATTCAGCACTGAGCACAACTCAGCTTTCAGAAAGGCTGAAGGCCCAGCTCAGCAGATGGTCACTCAGGGGTTACCTGCTGCTCTGGCACACAGAGGTCACTGCCCAGCACGGGGGACAGATGGCACAGGGCAGGCACTGAGAACCCATTGTGTGAGCAACAGTCACTCGGGAGAAAGCTACACCTGCCAACATCTGGAATAGTTTATCAAGTATCATTCAAAAAGCAACTAAATATTGCACTGCCTTCTGAAGAGAGCTTTCTGAGCGGTGTTCGGAGAAAGACAGTGCAAATTCTTTTAAGTCCTTTAGTTTTAGATTGTTCATGTTATAGGCTGCCAATAACAAAGTGTAACTATTTCTCAGCTCTGCTTGGGAAGGATAATTTCAGTTCATGCTTGAAATTATGTATTTTAAGTATTTCTAATATGTTCACCAAGGTGGACACCGTGGTCACCACAGCCCAGCTGCTCAGGTTGGAAGGCAGAATTCCCTCAGTGTCCTGCCCAGTGCTGCTGGGAACCTGGTGATCCCACACCCGGGGCGTGGAACATGGCACAGCTCTGGGATCGAAGAGTAGCAACACCTCAACATTACTGTTCTTGTGTTACTGGCAGATGGTATTTATAATGTATTAATCTCAAAATCACACTTGGATTTTTTTGTAAGTGTATAAAAGCACAACTAATTATCCTACACCTGGCCTTGGATAGGAGCATTTAAACATTTCTCTCAATATTAAAAGAATTCAAACAGCTCTTTATGAAACATGGCAATGCTGATTTTGCTCTCTTATCCATAACCCCCTCCCCTCCAGCCCTTTTTACCTTCATAATGACATGCAACACATTAAACTCCTAAAATCAATTCAGCTAAGGAAGAGGAGATATGGATTAACAACCAGCTAAGATTTTGGAAAGTGGTTTGCTCTAAAAGATGAAAAAGACAAAAGTCTGCTCAGCTATGAAGAGCAGCTGCTGCCAATACAAGTATTTACCCCCTGACCCCTCCTCTGCCCACTCAGTGAACAGTGCCAATTGTTTTCCTGTATTATACACTGTTTACAAGCCCTGAGTGGCATGAAAGGAATTAATAATTCAGCTCATGGAGCTGATGACCTTTATTGGGGTACCCCTATTTGCTGAGTAGGAACCAGAGCAAAAAGCTCCCTTGAAGCCACAGGGTTTCTTTAAGAGTTTTTCACTTTACAGCCTAATTGGCCACCATAACATAAATCAATTATTTCTCCTGTTTTAAGCAACAATGCTACCTATTCTCAACCACTCAATTTCTAACTTCTCTTGTATCAAGCCAGCCCTTGTTCTTTGACTTTTACAATGGTCTGGTAAACACACTGGCAAGGCCAGCCTGGAGAGCTTTGCAGGACCAGGAACATTTGGGAACACCAGCAAAAAGAGGTTATGCTATTTTGAACTTCTCTTGACCTTTGCCTGCCCTTGTCCCTGGTTATGCTAATTGAAGGGGTATATGGGCTACTCCCAGAAATGAACTTAGCCTGAACCTGTGACACAGCATTGGACTTTGAAGATGAGTTTGGCATCCCCTCCCCAAAGGCTGTCACCTCACTACAGGAAGGGACAGCAGGTCAAACACAGTACCCTGAGCACTGCAGGGAGACCCCAGGTGAGAGTGAGCAGAACGTGCTGACCCAGTGAGTCACATCTTCCCCCGTGCCCAGTCAGCTGCCAGGGATCAATGGCATGGATCCACGTGGCAAACCCACAGCTGTGCTTGTGGGGCTGTAGACAGAAGGACGTGGTCATAGCACAGCCTCCACAGGTACAGGGTATTCCAGATGTGACTCTGCCATGTCCCACAGGAGGCACTCAGTGCTCCTCTCAACCTCCTGGCTCTCAGACCAGCACATGATGGGCTGTCTCCACCACAAGCACATCCTGACTCATTGTGAGGCTCTCCAGGACCCCAGGTCACCCTGCCGAGCTGCTCCCCAGCCTGTACCATTCCATGGGGTTATTGCATTCCCTTCAGGTTATCAAGGTCCTCCTGAACAGCAGCTGTGCCCTCATCGTGGTGTCAGCTGCAAGTGTGACGAGTGTGTCCATCCCATCATCCCCATGGCTGACAAAATTGCTAAATAGTATTGGCCCTAATATTGACTCCCAAGGACAACCACAGCATAACAGGCCACCAGTTAGTGCTTGGACCCTTGACTAGCCACCCTTTGAACAAAACAGCCCAGTTTGTCACCCAGTTTGTCTACAAGGATGATATGGGAGAGACTGTGTCAAAAGCCTTGCCTAAAGTTAAAGTTAGTGACAAAATTACTGTCTCCTCATTCAAGGATCCAGGAATGAGGCTGGTCAGGCATGATCTTCCCTTGGTAAACCCACAGTGACTGTTCCCAATTACCCTCCTATCCTTCAAGTGCCTAGAAGGGTCTTTTGGGAGAATTTGCTCCATACCCTTCCCACTGAAGGAATGAGACGAGGATGACCAGCCTGCAGTTCCCCAGAGCAGCTACTACTGAGCAGAGCCGAGTTAAAGGTGATTCATTGTCCCTTATCAGCTGAATTTTACTATACAGAGACATTCCTCCCCTTTCCCCTACATTGGGTAGAGCTTGCCTTACCTCAACACTGAAAACACACACTGTTTGCAGAAAGAAGTGGGAAGTAAGGTCATTGTGATAAATATTTTTACTCATTTTCCTTTACACAGAAAACAATCCCAGTTCCTGCTTACCAACAAAACTGAAAGGAAACCTACACAGAGTTGAATGTTCCATGAACCTGCACTGCGTTCCTCAATAAACACTCTACAGACATTGTTATTTTAAATGCCTGTTTACATTCCAGTAAAATTCTGTCAGCATGGTATCTGATTTATTGATGCCATCAAAAGTCACAGGATTCCTGACGTGCCTCCTGAGGCACAAAAATCAAAGCAGAAAGGAGCTGCACGTTGCTGTGCTATCAGCATTACCCCATATGGGATGGGATGGGTTTCCAGAAGCCGCCTGTGTTTTCTGAGGCAGAGCACAGTGGGCCCTTCTGGAAAGCTGGTGCTTCCCTGGGAGATTTAGCAGGCTCTGCTCCTGGGAAAAATGGGGTGGTGTGGATGGAGGTGCCATCCACAGCCAGCCCTTGGTAACAGCAAGGTGCATCAGGGCAGCTCATTCCTCTAAAGGGGGATCATACACATTTGCATCTTGTTTTACACTTTTAGGCTATCGAAAGAGCAAAGTTCATACACAGTCAAGCAGCAAAGCTTTTTAGAAAAATGATGATGATGAAAAGAGCCTCGAGGCATGTCCTAAAATAAAAGTGATCATCTGTTTCAAATCCAATGCCTCTCAGCATGCAGTGCTCCGTCCCACAGGCTTTGTCCCTGGGCATAAAATTTTGCATCTTCTCTACCTGGAGTACATTTTGGTTGACCAGGATACTGCCCACCAGGCAGCCCAGCCTACTCCAATACTGGAAGATCAATTGCATAATCATTCTGTAAATCTGGGGAAATTCTTTATTGACTTTTTGATCACTGATAAAGTGTTGGCCAACACAAGGCATATTACTATAGCAAAATCCATCTAGAGACCACTAGAGTTACCTTCATTAAAAAAACAGAATTGTCTGATATTATACAAGAGATGATATTTTTTAAGAGTTAATATCAACCCAGATTAATATTCATCTACTGATAGTTAGTAGCACATTATGATATACAGAATATGCCAGAAATCATGTTGCAAATTACCCAGTGTTCCCAGGGGCGAGTTGTTCCAGACCCCAACCAGTGCACCAGGCTGGAAACACCCCGTGACTGGACCTTTTCACCACAGCACAGGTAACGTGCCCGTTGGATCCAGCAGCCAGTGCAGGAATGGCACTGACTCACTGGGATCCCGGAGAAGCACCAACATGTGATCAGTCTGAAAACAGCTGTTTTCCCTAACCTCAAGGTTAATTAATTTCACAGCATTTATCTCCTAATTTTAATTAGTGGAGCTAATATTACAGCTCCTGACTGTAATGGACTTGAGCTGCACTCTGCCAGGACCTGGCTGACTGCACCAGCCCCGGCATCAGGAGGCTGGGCAGTACTTAGGGAGTGAACTGTGCCCTGAGGATCACGACAGAAGCCTTGAATGTGAAAAATAGGTACAAGCACTACACATTGGAACAAGCTTCCTCATTGTTACCACATGTACACAGAAGCACTGCATCATCCAAATCAACCACTGGGTGTATAATTGACATTAAATCAGCACTAGAGGGAAAAGCTTCCCAGCTGCCTGGTGCAATGTGCTCCTGCCACGTTCAGCTGCAGCACAGGATGGGCAGTGGCAGCACATGCTCACTGTCACAGCAATCCTACAGCTGGCATTTGGGATTTAAACCTGCGAGTCCTGTGGTTCAGCACATGGGAGGGACGTGTTAGAATATGAAATCCTCTGCACTGTAAATCAATCCCCAGAGCCACGGCTCTCCCTGCACGTCATACAAGGACCAAGGCACAAGGTGAACACTCAGAGTGTCAGCTGGGAACCGTGGTGGGTGTCGCTTACCCATTTTTGTGAGGTCTTCATTTCCCACAGGTCACCTGGAAGTGATTGTGGCTCATGCCAATGGCTGCAATACCTGACCAGTCCTTCAGACTCCAGGTTTCGTTACATTATTGGTTCCAGTGTCCTGCTCATGAAATCCAGAGACCCACAGCCTCACCCAGCACTTCCCTCTCAGCCCCACCACCACCAGGATCCCGGGTTTTGTTGGAGTGAAAGGCTTACTTACATTAAGCATTTGGCCTCCCAGGGACAGGGATTACAAACGGGCAGGAATCAAGGGAAATTGGATTCTTTCTCCCCACCTACCTCTCTGCCTCCTGTCTCCCATGTTTGCAAACCGTATTAGCTCCTGCTGCTTGCAATTCCAGAAACACTTCCCTTTCTCTTCGGGGCTCATTCCAGCCACATCTGCCTACTGCTATAATCTCATTTTGCAGGACACCACATCTCGTAGTAGCTTTTAATTGTGGTAACACATCTAAGCGTCTTAAAAAGCACATCAGAAACTGTTTGACAGAAAATGTTCATCAGGACAGAAGCACCATTCCTAGCACTTGGATATTTGTGGAGATTTGTCTACACTTATACTAGGAAATCACCTTAAATACAGGAAAAATATCCACATTTTTAAAGAGGAGGCTCCTAATCTTTTCAAGGGGCAATTCAATCTGGCTGCTCTGAAGAGCAATCTGAAATCTTAATTCACATTTAATCTAACTTAAAACTTAAAAAAATAATACAGGACTTCACATTTTGCTGATATTTTCATGAAAAGGCAGCAAATGCAAATGTTGCCTCTTTTAATCTCAGGTTTTAAGATGTATGATTACAAGTTTTACAATTCCAAAATAATTGTTACATACACTGCTAAGGGAAATCTATTCTTTCTTTTCAAGCTGCTCCCCACTGGTGCTCCACAGATGGCCACGTTCTGCTTGGGCAGTGGTGGGTAGGGCTGGTGACCCAGCACCCCCTGCACCCCCACCCAGCCACGCCTGAAACATCTCACTCAGAAAAAATCACCCCAGTGTGATCTGCTGCCTCGTGGACTAAACAAGATGAGAAAGGCTGTGGCACTGCCATTTATTTTGCCATAACTGTGGCATTTCTTACGCAGCAATTTTTGTAGAGGTTTCCCTAGAAAAAAAACAAAGCTACAAACAACTCTCTTGTTCCAATTTATAGCATCTTTCTAGATTATTTTCCAGTATTTCTTATTTGAATTCAAATTATTTGAATTTCAATGTATTTGAATTTCAGATTATTATTTGAATTCAAATAACCCCTGTCCACATGCTACAATAAAATATTCCACAGATATTGACAACTACTGTTTATTTATTATTGGGTAACCTATATATCTATATATATATATAGATGTATCTATACATATATTTTTTAGCATAACTCAGAGGCCAAGCACCCAGAGGTGCATTTCTTTCCCAGCACCAGTTTGCAAGAGAAGCTGTTTCCAACTTAGGTTGTTTCATGAAGAAAAAGTAAAATTTTAAAATTCTGATCCTCTAGACAAAAACATGCTGCAGCTGGACCTGCCACATCAGAACACAGAGGTTTGGGAACAGGAAACAAACCCTTCACCTGCCAGCTACAGGAAGGTAAAGAAAAAGTATCTCAAAACAAACCAGCTCAGCATTACTGGAAACAAAATCTTCAGTGCAGGCTGGAGCTGCCAATCCAACGTGAGCTGTTGTCTGCCCAGTTTGCCTCTTCCAAAGGACGAGTCCTTTCCACTGAGGGTGTAAGTTCCCACTTGTGAGTAAGGACGAACACAACCCTTTCCTTCTGTGCACGAGGGGACATTTCTGGCAGTGCCTGTTTCCCACATCGTGTGATTGATTACGCTCTCCCCCTTAGAAGAGTTGATTGGTTTCCTGGTGCCAGGAAAATGATTGATGAATATTTCAGGCCATGGGCCTCTCTTCCTGCTGGGTGTCCTTTTCACATGTCTCCAATGGGCCTGGGGATTTTTTTCAAGACTAGGAAGTGTCATTTTTATGGATATCATCCTGTGATAGGGACAGTTCACTGAGCAGAGGCCCCGTGTAAATCCAAGTGAAATACTAAAGGTCAACTCAAGTGTTAAGGTGATGGACTCAATCAGCACGTACCAGGTAAGTAGGAGAACAGCACTGGGCAAAGAAAAGCTTCACAAAGCAGCAAATCAGGAGGCAATGAGCAGCCACAGCCTGAGCTTGCTACTGCAAACTGGGAGCAGCAAACTGGTACCCAACACTGGCATCTTTCCTCAGTTTCCTTCAATTTTGTAAAACATCACAAGTAAGGTAAATTTGCAGGTAAAAAAATTTGCTTGTGACCCACAGAAAGGGCATTTCCTCACAGCTGTTGATAAAACAGGCAGAGGATGTGGAGTCTCCTGGCAAGAGCACACACAAGACATCTGAAGCAACAATATACTTAGGAATAATTCCTTGTAAGTATTGCCAAAAAACATAGAACTACAGCTGTAAGAGTGAATGAAGAGATTTTTGGAGGACAAGCTGGTGTTTGGCAGAACTCTCAGAGACTCAAAGTTCTTTTACAGATTTTTACTACAGCCACAACAGCCATCATTTAATCACTTGGCTTCAGGATCTGAGGGCTCCAAAGCAATTCCCACAGGTAAACCCTGGGCTTCTCAGAGCTGGGGGGTTTTACCCAATAAGAGAATTTTGAGATTTAGTCCCCAGGACTTCACAGTTCCAGATTATGTTTCCATAAAAACTATTTAAGGTTTCTATCACGTTTCAGCTGAGAGGTATTTCCAGACAAGGCCATCACAGCAGTTTGCAGTCAGCCTGGCACGAGAGCCATGATAAATTTTCCCTGTTTTTTTTTTTCTTCCTGATGTGTTCATGAAGGGAAAATGGGTTTAAAAAAAATTAATCTTTCACACTGACCAGACATTTCTCTAAGTTTAAATTTCACCACCTCTACAAGCCCATAGCTGGGATGGTTAAGCAAGGGGAGGCAGACATGTAACTTGTGCTCTCTGAAGGACGTGGGGTCCACCCTGAGTAAATGAAACCTCCTTATCAAAGCACTGGAGGAGAACTCAGATACTCCAGGCATATACTGCCTTCAAGATAAGTTATGGGCAATCATTTACCAATAAAGAACTTCACTGAAGCCTCTCTGTGGTGCATTTCCTCTTTCTAACAAAACCTGTACAGAATCATTTTTATCAACATATAAAATCTGGAAGTCTTCTAATTATGTAATTAGAACTGTAATAATTA